TCCCCAGAAGGACCAACATCAAGACAGTATTTTGGTACTGTGATGAGCCGGAGGCTGTGTTGTCATGGAGGAGCAAGTACTTTCAGCACGGTCCCGATAGGGAGCCTCTGAAAGTCAGGCTCCCTGATCTCCCTGATGTGTTTGTTGTTTCCATTCAAAATGACAACACGGGTAGGGTTGTTAGTCGCTGTAGGGAGGCTGGATACAGCCATCCTAATGCGAGCAAGTTCCCGTCTCGCAAGAAGATCGCTAGGGAGGTTCAGAGTGCTCTGATAAGGGCTGCAGCTGTTCACGCCCAAGTACTGATGATGACATCGACACGAACCCTGGGCATGTGCGGGGACATCGTGTTGTTCGAAAGCCAAAGTACACCGGGAAAGTCACTGCACCTGTTGGATACAGCGGGGTGAGATGGTTGGTCGATACCGGTTGCCCGATGGATCTGGTCGGTCTTGGTGACCTGAAAGGACCCGATAGGGCGGACATACGCACGCATTGCATACTGCAAACGGGGCGACTCGTACTGCTGGTCGTGTTGATGCTGATGTCGGTAATCTGGACGAGGTGATTGAGGCACATGTCCTTGAGTCTACGCCATCCATCATTCGGTTGGAAAGCGCTGTATGGATATGGGCTACTCGTTTGCGTGGAATGCAGGCTGCATGCCCTTACGTGCCCTTCGGGTCGTGCAGTGACGTTGGACGTCATCAACAATGTGCCGTACCTTCCTCGTGGTGACACTCAGTTCGTTTCTCCTACTCTTGATGACGGTGAGCCACTTCCCGCCATGCCAGCCCCTGGCGTTGCTTACCGTGGGGTCGGAGCACCAAGGTGCGAGCCCGTGTTGGCGAGCGAGAGTAGCTCACAGGACACCTGGAGGACTGAGCGATCAGGTCATATAGTGAAGGAGCACCGACTTCCGCGCAGGGCGAAGTTCGTGCCAACTGGCAGTGATTGTCCTGTTAGGGTCGATAAATTGACCAATTACAGGAGGACAGTGATTCACCGTAATGGGGTTACCCATGAGGTGTTGGTTGATGCTCTGCGGGAGTTGTCTGAAAGGGATCAGCATGCGATAGCATCTGATATTCCTTGGACGGGTGAGACTTGGTTTCAGGTTAAATGCGAGACCGTCGCTCTTCCTGGAGAGGCCGAGCAGGGGGGTGAGGGCGATAGCCATCCACCGCCTGCTCCTGGCCCTTGGGGAAGGAGACGATGGTGAAATCGTCGAGATAAACTTCCTCTCCGGGCTACGCACTGAAGCAGAATGGCGCGCAGACGCTAAGACGCTCCGCCATATGCGTGCGAAGATGGAAAATGTCAAACTTCGCCGCAAAGGTGGTGCTGCTGCGCATGACGTGGCAAACTTCGGGGACCTAGCCACTGCTGACACTATGGTGTTGAGGGGGCTGAAGGATCGAGTTTTTCACGTCGAGGCGGACGCGATAGTGTTCTATGACCTCGCTACTGACTACCTCGATGTCCTTCCGGCGCAATCTAGATCTCGTAGCAATACGCTGGAGGCTGCTCGAAGGTTCGCAGGGGGACAAACTCTGAAGTTGGTGCACAGCGATCAAGCACCAGAGCTGAAGAATGCTGTGACGAAACTTGGCGCTATGCACCGGCTCTCCACACCGGGCATGCCCAAGACCAACGGCTTGATAGAGAACAAGGTTAAGCTAGTTCTCCACGGGGCACGTGTGCTTCTGCGTCAAGCCGGCTTTGAACCTCGATGGTGGGCATTTGCCGTTAGGCGTTTCGCTATGGCTAGAAACATTGAGAATCGAGGCGATGGATCGCCCTGGACGCGACGCCACGGTGACGGAAACTTCAGCGGAGTCATTCTGCCTTTTGGCTGTCTGATCGATTTCTACCCCATTGCTCCCAAAGTTCGCAGGGATAGAAAGGGGGGGTTCAAAACGCCCAAAACGCCATCAGACACGCTAAGAAGGTTGAATCAGAGGACGTCGATGAAGGAGGAGACCACTGGATCGTGAATGAAGATGAGAAGGTAGTCACTCGCGTTCATGTTGAAGTGCGAACTAAGCTGTTTGTCCCGATAGGGGCAAACAGCCCGGTCAGGATCAAGGATCTTGGCAGAAGACGAAGCACAGTCATCAACTACCTTGATGGATCAACAGAATTCGTCGTTGACGAGAACTGGCTCCAGGCTGAGCATGAGCGCGGGGGCGATCATGAATGGACTGGAGAGACCCACTTCGACTGTGATTTCGATCAGATCAATGAGGATGAGGCCGAGATTTACGAGTGTGAGGAGTACGAGCCCGAGGGTGGTGACGAGCCTGACTTTGTTCCTGCAGATGAGGTAGAGGTCGAAGAGACGAGTGTCACTACTGCCCTTCCAAGTTCGACGGAACCATTCGGAACCAGGCTGTCCAAGGAGGTGGTGACGCGTGCATCTCAGATTACTGGGAGCGGCACGACGAGGACAGTGCCTGGTATTGCATCCACGTCGAAGTGCGGAAGAAGTTCTTCGGGACAACAAATGAGAACCTTCCCCCATGGCTGCAGGTGGTCCTTCGCATGAGGAGCTTGACACCGTTAGGGTCACTCACACGCGGGGACTCGATGCCGTTGGTAATTGGGTAAAGGACGATCGTCATCATGGCGCTCCCAATCATCGACATTTTACGCGTGGATTTTGGACAGGTGTGACCATCCTCTTTGACAAGGGATGCGCTCCCCACGGTAGGTTCAGGCCGAAGGAAGAAGAAGCGAAGCCGGAGACTCAAAGAAGGGTCACAAGCTGCACGGAGATAGGATCACCAATCCGCCGATAGGCGTGAGCGGCCATGCGCTGGCACCGGAAAGCCCAACTCTATTGATGCAGATAGTTGGAGACAGATGTCTGCCCGGTCACGGGAGAACATCCTGAGAGGGACCCGGCCGGTCCAGCGCCGGGCCGCAAGCTCCTCATTGAGTTTGCTTGCGAGCCCGACTCACGCCTGTCTGCTGTGATGATGGAGTGTGGCGGCGAAGCAGTTCGCGTTCACATTGGCTCATCTGACATCACGAAGGCTAAGGACATTAGTCGGCTCATTGCGATCATCGAGGATAATCCTGGGTGCGATCTCTGGGCGTCAATTCCGTGTGGACCGTGGGGTACATGGCAGTATGTGAATCTTTCACTTCACGGTGCCGAGATTGCATCACACCTGAATGATCTGAGAAGGAACCCTGAGCATCGCTTTTTGATTAGAATCAAAAGGATGACAATGATTTTTTTGATTTTCAAAAAAGTAGGGAAAACAAAAGAGATTTACAAGTGTTGTGAATGTGTTTTTGGTGTGTGTAAACTAGTGTTTTGTTAAATGCTTTCTTTTGATGTTCTTTTTGATTTGTTTGTGTTCTCAAAGTGGTGAACATGAATGCATTCACTGTCAGTTTCCAAGCAAGAAGGATACCAACAAGTCTTTGAAAAAGGACAAGTCCAGCAACAAGGTGAACAAGGAGGAGGTCCAGGGCAAGTCTTTGGAAAAGGACAAGCTCAGCAAGGAGCTGAAAGCAGAGGATGGCCAGGGCAAGTCTTTGGAAAAGGACAAGCCCAGCAAGGAGGTGAAGAAGGAGGATGGCCAGGGCAAGTCTTTGGAAAAGGGCAAGTCCAGCAAGGAGGTGAACAAGGAGGAGGACCGGGGCAAGTCTTTGGAAAAGGACAAGAAGTCTTTGGAAAAGGACTTATTGGCCAGCTCCCCCTCTGTGGAAAGAGAGCAGGCAAAGCTCAGGCCAGCCCCACAGAAGCCAGTGGTGGTGGCTCACTCCGGGTGTCCCTGTCCTCACGAATGTCCCTCGCAGCACCACGAGTGAGGCTCCTGGCCCTCGCAGCTTCACGGCTCCTTGCATTCCGGTAAGATAAACTCTCTTCCTTCTCACGAGCATCCGCAAATGCGACATAATCTTCATCATTCTCGAACTCAAACGGAGTCGTTGGAACTGGGTTGGGCCTATCAGTATCATGACTCAGGCTTCACGCTACCGCCCCATCCCGCGGTCGACGATAACAGGGCATCGTATCCGATGCCTGCAAACGCCCTCTCCTCGTGCTCATCAAACTGGCCTGGATTTTGAGACCCAGTTGATCGACCAGTGATCGAGATATCTCTCGGAGCCAAGACCATGGTTCCTGGTCCGTGCAGCCTGTTCTCAACTCCCTCGAAGCCTGTGATTCACCTGGAAAAAATGACCTGGGAGATCGATTAGGCATGGCTTTCAGGTCGTCCGTATGAGGACGAGCCATGTTCATCGCCATACTGATGAAGTCCAAATGTCCTTGTCCGAAACCTGAATCGGCCGCCCCTATCGGGGCGAGCTCCTCACCCTTGCTCATCATCGGTGGCCTGACGGAAAATGCGGTCGCCTCCATCGTCAGTGTACCTGCCACGGCTTCGGGGTGTGGCCCTTATCGGGATCATCACCCTGCGATCCTGACCGGCTGAACCTGCCTTGAATTCCTCGTAGTCGTAGTCCGGCAAGTCCTCACCTGCTGGAGACCACCTAGGATAGCCTCCTCATCCACGACACTCCTGTGAGAGCGTGGGGTCGACGTCATAGAGCTTGTAGTTGATGGTCTTAAGCGCGTAGGAAAGTCCTACGGCTGATAACCTGTAATTCGGGCACGAACCTGTGCCCAGGCAATGGGTTAGTTGGGGTAAACAAGCCACAAAGAAAGGTTCCCCAAAAGCAAACCAATCCCCGGTCCCAAAGATCAGGGTTTCCCACACACCAGAGAACAACAACCAAAAGAGAAAAGAGTTAACGTCGGTCGACGCAGGGGTTCGGCGACGCCCATCCGAGGCGCGACGGAACCCATAAACTTGAGCCAAACACCACCGGTCAGTCACTACCGCGACTTCCCAGATGATGCTTTAAACCATGGCTAATCACATTAAATACATTATGTACTATGCACATGTGTACAACCATGCAGCGCATTCATGTCATAAATCCGCATGTGTGGGAGCATGGAAGAATCTCATGTTGTCCTGGTCCATACTCTGGCTGCTTCCCTGGCACTGGCTGTCCGCCAATAGCTCCTGAGACGACAACCACGCAACCTGTGAGACAAGCTAAGTGCCAAGGCCTACGACAAAACCATACCAGCTAGAAAGGCATGGAACTTCCTTCCACCTTTGTGTTGTCCAATTCAATGAACACAAATCTGAATTCAGCCATGCCTCGGAAGGGCAATGCTGGCGGCAGCCACCAGCGCCCCACCAACCCAAATGGCGCTTGGCATGGCTTTGCATCCGTCTAGCGGCTAAGTTGCCTCAATCATATGTCGCTTGGTCGCTTGGTGCGTGTGCGCGCGTGTGTGTGTGTGTGTGCGCGCACGTCTCGTGTGGCATTTTAGTGCTGCGGTGTTCAGTGGCACTTGTATCTAGCTGCCTTCCTTGTGAAACTGCGAAGCAGTAGCAAGTGTAACTTTGCCTTTCTAGGCCAGCCTGAACCAGCATCCCATCCATTTGGCTCAATTTGAGCTGCAGGGTGAGCGCAGCGTACTCTCTGGAAGTGCTGGCCCTTGCACGTCCTCGGGCGCGCTGTGCACTGCAGAGCCTTAGTAATTCTGCGGAAACAAGCTCGACTAGCAAACAATTGAGACCAAAAAAGCTTTCACTTCTTCAAACACAAACAGATTGATTCATTGTCAATAACTTTGAACTCAATTTGTCTCCCTTGTATTGGTTCTGTTTGCATCTTAAAAGGCTTGAGACACTGCGTGTGAACAAACCTCCGTTGCATACCCCGATGTAAGCTCCAGGCATTCAGAACCGGGCGCAGCAGTGCTGGGTATTTGCGGCCTTCAGTCAAGGCCCCTCAACCCTGCCCTAACCTTTGGCCAAATTTGATGTTCGCACCCACCCCTCCAAGAAGCCCGTCAGGATGGGGCAGGCAACGGGTGCCAAGAGGGAGCAGCCCGGGAACTTCGGAACTCGAGCGTGAGGAAAACATAGGAAAGCATCTCTCCGATCCCCGGAGAAAGGAGGTGGGAAGGCGCCACCACCAAGATCTTGGCTCGGAGGCCTTGGCATGCTCTGACCTGCGCCGACAAACAGCATGACCCGAAGGGGCAATTCAGAGGCTGTCAAAGCGCAAATGCCCTTGAGTGGCATCTTATATCTTCAATTTGACCGAGCTTGACCTCCCGAGGCACAACACTCTCACTGCAACCTTCTCGCCCACGCTTCATATTTTTCAACCTCCTGGCATGGCTGGTCATAATGAGACTTTCCGTCGAAAAGATCCACGTAAGTCAGACTTGAAATTCGCAGTTCAAATACTTCCCATGTGCATCCAGCGAATGGTCCAGTAACAAGCAGACTGTATGCCTAATGTCAGAAATGACCTTTCCAGGCACAGGGTACTTGCTGGGCATCTAGGCAGAAAGCAAATCTTCTTTGCTATCTGGGTATAGGATTGCTGCCTGAAGAGTTTCAAATCCTGCAACGGAGCAAACATCACGGCACTCCAAGGAAACCACATTTGGAAAGGACCCTGAAAACCTCCATGTACTGGGAGGTATCAGTGTACATTTCCGAATTGGTGACTGCTGCGCTACTTGGCAAGTGATGTCATTGCCGAGCACCGATGCCCGAAAGCGCCGCTTGACACCCAAGTTCCTTCAAAACAGAAGCCGTGCCGCAATGTGGGCGGCTAATCCCAGCGCATGAAGGAAAATGCAGACTATCACTCAGCACAAAACGCTCTTTGAGGCACCAAGTGCTGAAATGGCGCTGCTAACGCAACTGCAAAAGCCGTCACGGCCACAAGCTGGCCAATGCCTTGGATCGACTGCGCAACTGAAGCAATCATCGAGGTCGCAAGCACGCAATGTTTGCGAATGTTGCAGCTCCAAAGACGCTGGTCGAGAAAGTACGCAATTTGAGGCCAGTCATTTGCGAAGCTCCCACTCACGACCACACATGTCGACAGAACATCCCCACCCTGCACGACAAGAGAACACCTGCGACCAAACAATACACACATACAGTAGTCCAGTGACGACCGTGCATGCTGACAGGAGACGACAGCTGCCAAGCAACACGCACTGTCAAGACTGCATATGTTGACACCCACTCGCTGCGCACAGCCAAGGTCACAACAGCACAACACCGCCTAACAAACAATACTCGGTACCTTCGGCAAGGCATATTCTACAAGAGTGCCTTCGTCGCCTTCCTCGACACGAGTTGCGGATTTGTCAGAAGGTTGCTTCGGCAACGGGTTTCGTTTGTTTTCACGTGAGCGCTTTTGGGTTTGGTGAAAAAGGACCGTTTCAGCAAAGCTCTGGAGCTCTCTCTTGGATCTCCGCGCTCTTTTGGGCTAACGGCTAACATCCGACAGTTGAGACTGGGGGCTATTGTAAACGCCTTACAGTACTTTCAGAAGGGCTTCCAAGCAGCTTCGGTTGCAATGCGTCAGAGCTCAGAGTCTTCTTGCTTTGCAGTGTGACCCCTGCCGCTGCCCCCGCATTTCATGCACTTGAACGGCATGGTTCGCAGATTGCACTACAAACAATGCCAAGATATCGCTGTCGCTACTTGAGCTGAATCCTGTCATGCAGTGATTGCATCCTTGGGTCATGTTCGCCGCCAAAGCGTATATACGCACAATGAGCACTTGCCACCCAGGTCAGGTGCTGCCAAGGTGCTGAGCTGCGCCCTTGGAGATTCAAGGCTGGCCAATGCTTCAAAAGCACATCGCTTACCAGGTGCTCAAAACAAGCTTCGCCTTGCTGTAAGACAAACTCATTCGTGGCAAAACCATTGCTGATTGGTGATCCGATGATGTCAAATTCAAGAGCTTGTCTTCTGTGCCTGTGCCACGAGGCACTGTTGCACTGAATCAGCATTCTGTCATTGCCACAGTTTGCTATTTGTTCCACCGTGCTTCGCAACAAGTGGCCATGCATCAACCGAATTGGTGCCGCCCAATTCTAGATCCAGCAGCGAAAAATTGAAACAAAAATGCGACTACCATGCCAGCCCTAGGAGCCAGGAACGTGGATTAAGTCCTAAAGGCTGTGTGCGCGCATCTCACTGAGAACTTGAAGGCTACCATGGCGACCTTCAAAGCTCGTTGGGCTTTAAGGTGACTCACGGGCTACACATGCAGCACCCACAGTCTGGCAAGTGCTCAAAATCGACGAGGTAGAGAGGCAAAATGGCGGCTTTGTCGTACAGCACGTACTCACGGTGATCCACACATCCACCTTCTGCCTTCGTCAAGGCAACTAACGAATGGCAATTTGCTGGCGGCAATCGCCGGTCAGGACACATGTGCTCTTGGTAGTGCGGGTTACCGAGCACTGCCCGGGCGACAACAACACATTGCCGCAATCCAGTAGAGGAGCCGCCATCACCTGCATACCGGAAGCACTTCGAAGCATTGTGCGCAAAATAGCTTCCTTGGCCAAACATGGCTCCAGTTCCCAGCCCCGCGAGCCGGGGATCGAACCCTCCGTTCAAGATGCCGTTGATTTTTCCATGCGTAGATCCATGGAACAGCAGCACCTCATTCAAGTTCACACCCGACTCGGAGCAACGGCAAATCTCTTCTACTGATCGTCGTACAGAAAGAGTCTTGCCCATCCAAGTCTTGATGTCGCGCAAGGCGGAGCAGCTGTGGCCTGCTCTCTCTTCGAGCAGCTCTTCTCGCCGCTGCATGTATCGTTTCAGGAATGTCCTCAGGGCACAACTGGCATGGGGCGCGTTGCACTGGCAGCCTGGCATTGGCACTGACACAGCTTCTTGGTCAGCCTGGCCTGTTTTCAATCCGGTCAACCTGGTGTACTTTGACGCTGGGGACGGAGCACCACCGGGTGGGATCTCTTGCATGACGATGTTTCACCAGAGATCGGGTAAACAACCACTCCACCTCAAACCCAGCGCGCACAGGCAGGCCCACGCCACTCATGTCCAATGCCCCTTCCCCATGCTTTGTAGCTGATTTCCGCCGCGAACACATCAAGCTGTTCTGGACTAAGCTGCTGACGAAACTGAACTCAGTACGATCGGCTGCCCCAACCACGGTCTGCAGCGGTAGCATGCTCTCGTGATGCAGCACGCAGGCGGCCTGCACAAAACAATAGTGACTGCATGTGACTGCATAACCGGTTGCCCGTTCGACGACCATAAAGCAAAGCAAGCGCAGCCCTCCGAAACTGGCCACAACAGCTGGACCGAGCTTGTGTGTGTGTGGGTGTGTGAGCGTGGCAACATGCAACACAACAGCAATGCCTTCCATCCCATGACCGTTGATGGGCGAACTTCCAACATGGGACCATCATCTGCCGAAACATCTGCAGAATCAAAACGCCAGCAACCTAGTATCCAGCAAAATCCAAGGCAGCGCCTTTCGCACCAGTGCATTCAGATTTAGCTCAATTTACATTCAACCTAAAATACGTTTGAGAGAGTGAGCGCGGACCAAAAGCTGGCAGAGTTTGCCAGAAGTGCCAAAGCCGCCTTTTCAACAGCCTGCCCTACAAGTCCTCTTCATACGCATCGTCCCCCCAACGCTCGTTACCCACGCAATCGGGAACGCCGAAATGGCAGCCTAAGCAGGTGGAAAGGAATGTGTTGAGGCAAAATGTAACGGCGAAACCAGTTCAGCCGAAACAAACTGGGGAACAGCAAGTCGAAACAAACGGCAAAGCACGCGTTGGGGCAATGTGGAACAGCGCCGTGCCACAGGGCTGAAATCCAGCCCCGTGCCGTGTTTCAAAAATGCGCAAAATGCATCCGTGGACCCTCTACTGAACCACCCCCGTGGCTTTTCCGGATTCTGACGAGAAAACGGGACGGTCAGGCCCCACAATCTTGTCACCCACCCCACCCACCCCAAATAGAAACCTCAAGCAAAGCCTCTTCGAGGCCAGATTTCGGGATATGAAATAGAAACTCCAATACTCTAATAGCTGCAAATGCAAGGCAGAACACCACACACGTCATTCAATTGCGGGGCCTCGCACAAATATTGCTCACACAGAAACACACTCTGCAAACGTCTGGCACGATGCCCCATGAAAAGTCGCAGGTTCTGCGTGTCCCCCTTCCGGCCTTCCAACCTGCTCGTATTGAAGTGGCCAATGCAGCTGAAGCATGTGCATCCGCCTGGCCAAACCGCTGTCCACTACCAGACTGGACGGACCAAACGCTTCACAAGCGTGACTCATCATTGAAGTTGGTTGGTAAGGCGTGACAGCAGGCCTGTTCCCGGGCAAGCATAGTCTCAGCACTTGTCTTTGCCAGCTTTGCTTGTAGCTTGTCCAAGGATTTCGTACTTGTCTTTGGCGTCTGCCAAGCAAGACTGCTAGTGAGCTGCATGCATGGCCAAGCAACACAGGTCATGCATATTTGCTGCTTACATGATACGCAAATATGCGCTACTTGTTTGACCACAAGCAGGCCTGCGGGTTGCTTTCCTCAGCTGGGCGCCTGCAAAAAGCAAGTCTGCTTGCCGATCTTAACAGCCCAACTTGCCCCGATTCAGAAGAAAAACAAGTTGGAACAGCTGCTCTGACTGGATCGGGCCCGTGCCTTTTGTCCTCATCGCAGCCCATCTGCTCACTGAGGGACAATAGCGCTTTCTCCTGCGGGGTGTGACGTGGGAGCACAACTCCTCTCACTTGAGCTGAGGCCACTTTGGCCACAAGGCAATGCTCCATGTTGGTGAAAGTGAGCCCTCGGTGCAGTTAGGGTGCTCTTTCTGCTTCTTTAAAAATGCCACTGTCCCCCTCCTGCCAAGTGTTGACTTTCTTCATGTTCTCGACGTCCTTTTCCTGTGCAGTGAGCTGTGCTTGGAGGTTGGCCTGAGCATGCCAATGTGAACACTCTCGCCCAAGTTCGCTAGAAAGATTCCGCCAAAGCATTCTGCCCGCAACCCGGGCAAGCTCTCTGAGAAGCAGGCAATAAGCTCCTGCTGCATTCGATGCAACTCCTTAAACTTTGCATTCTCCTCCATGACTTCCACCTTCAAAATCATGGCACTCACACATAAAAGCTTCCAGAGACTGGAGATTCCTGCTGTGACTTGGGGGGAAATCGAGCAGGCGAGCTGCAACAGCCCTTGTAGAGCCACTTCCAGCATCGCTCGTGTCTGGCTCTTCCGACGCATCGTCCCCTTCACCTCCTGAGGCGAAAAAGGCACAAATGACTCACTCCAAGCCGCTCCAAGCCTTTCCTGATCTAGCACCTGCAATGTTCTTTCAGCCTATTTCAGCCTTCAGCTCTCAATCCGAGCACGCGTTCTCCTGAGCAGTCTCCAAGCCACTGTTCTGCTGGCGCACCGCCGCGGCAAACGTCCAATTCAATGATCCGCCTGCTATCCTCGAAGACGGGCTCACGTGCGCTCACAAGGTGAAGCTATGGACGGAGAAACAAAGATATACATTACGCCGGGAGGCCGCAGCAGAGGCCTGATGCCAGGTGTCACTTGTCCTCGACCACGCGAACAGGTTGCGGGGGCAGCATGCAAGTACAGCCTCTTGACCTTTTCCCAAGCCTTACAGCCGAGTCAGCTGCCAAACAACCTACTTTGAACTCGACTCAACCAGTGTGATGAGACCAGAAGGAATGCATGAAATCCCTGCCGGGGTCAAGGCCAAAGCCTCACGACGGCCGAGTGACTGGACCCGACAGCAAAATCATGCAAAACCGTCTTCCTGGTGACTGGTGGACGTTTGACCAAACTATTGCGCATCGGTAATGCTGACCGGAGGGGCGCACATGCAGGAACTTCCAGCTATTTGCCGAACTAAAAATCAAGAGGGCTGCAGGATGCAGAAAGAAAAATAGAGTTTGCTTGCTTCGGAGCAATGTCGGCATGTAGCCGACGCAGCCAAACCCATCTGCCATGAACACGTGGAAGAATCACATGGCGGATGCTGATGGGCGCGCTTCGAACAGTTGGACTTCACTAGCAGAAGCAAATTCCATTGCGCCACAGGGTTTCTTCAAGATCTTGAGCCTTTGTCTGCCTGTTTTGGGACGACATGTCCAAGCTTCACGTTGAGAGTACTGCCTGGTTCTTCACAACATGTTCAATGCAACGCCTGCAACCACGCGTCATACCACGGTCTGCATTTACTCCACCATGTTGTCTGCGTGTTTTGCTCGCAGAATGGACGTAGCACGGCAGTTTTTCAGGCCCGTTTCCACACACACACACACACAAACCCCGGAAACAGCCAGCTAGTAGTCAAACAATGAGTTCGTCTCTTCCGAATCTCTCCCCAACCGCCCTCTAGTTTGGAGTCTTCAGCTGCAATACTAACCATCAGGATCCATCAGGCATTGGCGAGGCGACAAGCGAAATTCAACATCTCTTTGGATCGATTGCCCAGACCCAATGGCTCCTGCCAGGGCAATCCCAAGGACCCTGCGTCTGTTCGTTGGGCCTCGGTTCAGTGTCTGCGCACTCTCACATGGCATCCACTACTACCACAAACCCTGATGAAAATGGCAATTGTTTGACGCTTGTCCAGATTGAGCCTTTGGGGGCAGCGGTTGGGGTAGTGGAGAGCACCTTAGACTTGTTCCCAACGCCCCAAGAGTCAAAGCTTGGGGAAAGAGGATACAAAGGCTAAGCGACCAGCTGCCGCATGGTGCCCACAACAAATACAAGCTTTTGTAGCTGCGCGACAACTGAACTGGACACGCCTTCCGCACACTACAAACACCAACTTGACGGCGGGGAAAGCTGCGAACTGCTGCTTTCCGGGCGGCCGCTTAAAAACGCACGGCATCGCCTGCAGGCCTTCAATGCAGGCCATGGCTCCTAGTTCAACTTTACGGGGAACGAATGCGACGTCACCACGCTGGCTTAAGCACAGCACACTGACATGAAAGTGACACAGTAACACTACGTTGCATTGCGGTTCCAAGCGTGGACCAATTGCACAAGACATTTAGCGCGGTTCATTCGTTCCCCAAGTGCTTCTGATTGGACTATTGGCCGAGAAGCACTGGACAAAGTGAACAAAACTAATGCAGGAGCCTGGAGCTGCGGAGAGCAATCTCAGCGTTTCACATGCAGCACAACTCGGGATTGAATATGAATGCTGCTATCCTCCTTGCGCATGGTAGCCATGCTCGGACAATGTCACCGCGCTGGTGCAACATGCTTTGATATCGTGGCGCACCTTAAGGAATGAAAAGAGGCTGGATTGAGTCCTGAGCAAGCTTCACATCCGAGGGCATCAAACATGGATGCGGAGCCTTGTGGATGTCCAAAGCATGGGAAGGGCACGCGCCTTGGCTAGGTGCTGTACGACTCAGCAAGCCTGGAGTCCACTGAGTGGCTCACATCGTGGGCGGACGAGCTGCCGACAGTCTGCGGGCTTGCTCGGAAGCTGCCGCCTGAAGCTGCGATATGCACACTACCATCGGTTTAAAGCATTCCTTGTGCCCACAGCATTCGTAGCTGGTTCGCACTGCCTGTCGTTTGATATGAGCTAAGGACATTCGCCAATTGCTGAGCTGCAACATTGGCAGCCGCGGCCAGGGACACAGCCCCTGAGTCACTAAGCCCGCAGCACAACGCACGCAACACGCGCAACCCCTGGGTCTGAGACTCTGGCCCATTGGCGCTGTGCGCAGCCGTGCCTGCGGACCAGAACTCGCTCGCAAGGAAGTAGTTGCAACTTCAGTGCAAGTCGCTCGCTTTTCGAAACTGAATTGAAAGATCCGGAGTATCAGCCTTGAGCACGGGCCTGTACAATCTCTGCCCGAAATTCAGCATCTGGCAGTGCTGGTTCCCTAAGATAATTCTTTGCAGGAATTCCATCGGGACACCACAACACAAACATTGATCCATGATTTACCCTCGCTGTGGGTTTTGACCCGGTTTTGAGAGGGTGGCCTGCAGTGCCGTGCTGTGTCTCTTGAGGCAATCAGCCCCTCTGGTAAGGCTGCAGTCGGAACGTCAGGCAGGGCCCGGCTGTCAGCTCTACTGTTAGTTCAGAGCTGGCGCAAGCGAGACCACTGCGCGGAGGATGTATCTCCGAAAAATATCATAAAATTGCACGGCTGCAGCAGCCTTTCAAATGCATGCAGGCCGAATTCTTGCCCGGTCACTTTCTGACCCTTCGGAGCTCACCGGCCCGTCGCTCGTGAGCGCCAAGGATGCAATGGCAAATCTTTGAAAATGGCGGCCAACAGTATAAAAAAACGACGTGCTGAACCCACACACGGCCACAGCCACCTCCGAGTGGTCAATCAAAAAATATCGGGCGCGCCGCCCCATCAACGGCTAACCGCGTTTATGAGTGCGGATCGTGCCTTGGCTGCTTTAAAACAGGCAGCCGTCAAGATGCTTTGAGGACACCTGGGCCGAGTTCAAAGATCCCCTCAGCCCTGCCCGCCTCATTGTTCCTCGCATCCAGACAAGCTTGGGCTGCGTGTGCTGCCGTCGCTCGCTTGCGAATCCGCTGTTCTGAGCGTGGCGCCAAGAGACCAAGCCAATTGCGCAGTTTTACCATCCACACTGCTGCCAAGGATCTTTGCGAATATGGGAACCACAGCCTCGTTTCCTAGCGCAACCAGCACACTGCAAGGTTAAAAATGCAGGCAGTCAGCTCATATTGTAACTCAGGAAATGCCAAGGAGCGAAAGTAATAGTTGCAATGAGCGGGAGGTTGGACACCCATGGACTCGTAGGTGATATCCACATCATCTCTGTCCACAACAATGGGGCTTACCTGCAAAACCACGCTTGGCAAGGCACTGACACAGCTATTTGTTTGCGATCTGGCAGTTTTGCGCCACGTTGCCAAATATCCTGATATTCTTGTTCCTGGGCCTGAAGCGCAATGCAGCACACCTACAATGGTACGCATGCTCAAGCAGCTACAAACTATCGGTCGCACGTATCGCGGCAAGCTGCGGGCATGAAACTGCAGAGCAATGTCGAGAAACCTCGGATCTTCTCCAACCATAGCGGCTTGCTCCAAGCCTTTCGGCTACAAGCTGGATTCGAAGGCAAGTTGCGCGTGAAAGTGCGTCGGTGATTCATCATAGATTGCTTTATACTGCTCATTTGGGCAATTGAGGAACATCTCCTTGGAACATCTTGATACCCAAATGCTGACAGGCTGTGCTCCGCACAATTATGCCTGCAACATCCTGCAACAGTCGCGTGACCAGTCGAGGACCACAATTGATACAGAGGTCTCTATCAGAAACGCCTGGCTGGCCGTAATCATCAAAGAATATCCGATCGAACCTCGGCAGCCACGTCTTGCTACGCTCCAGCATGCGCCCTGTCCCATTCACACACCCTGAGAACTTGGCGTGCCAAGCTCCGGCAAGCGCTGCTGCCACGTACCCTCAACGATGCGCACCTCGAACACAGGATCAAGAGGTTGCCGGCAACAGGCCTCTCCTTGCCAATTTTTACACCCGCCTGAATCCCAGTTTTACGCATGCTGACCAACATGGCCCATGGAAAATAAGTACCTTCGGATGAAAGCGTATTAGCTGGCGATAGTTGGCAATGTTGGACATTGCATCGGTAGTGACCTGCGCTCTAAAGGGCCAAACGGCAACCATGTCCCAAATGAATCTAACAGCAGGGCTAGGAGTCGGCCCCCAAAGTTGAACTCTTACCACAAAACACCTTCCATCTTAGAACTCTTGACCTTCAGCTAGACCACCCCGGCCAAAGGGCAGCTCCTCCCGCTTTCTGCCTGTCTCAGGCACATTCGGCCGCGTGCTCGCCCACTGCTTGAGCCGCTTCAGCACAACCTCTGAACCTCGGCCCAGAAAAAGGCTTGGCCTAGAGTCTCACAACCACTGGGACCGCTTCTCCTTTTGAGGTGCAGCAAGCTTGCTCGTTAGCTGATGAGGACAGCACTCAACCTTACAAGAAAAAGGCATAAGGAAATCAAATAAACAGGCAGTGGGGATTAGAAATAACGGATCCCCTTCAAGCAATGCTGGGGTGAGCTTTGTGGCTCGCGTTTCTGTCGCATGCCACGAAGCACTCAATGATGGTGTGGGATCGCGGCTTGAAGTGCTGAATCCGATCAGCGCTGTATCCGCAGCCGAAGCCAATTTCGAGCACATCACAGACCTTCAGTTGACTGCTTCGGCAACTCGGTGCGGAGACACCCTACGTAAATTGAAACGCCATGCAAGGGCGAACCCTATCCGCAGCGTGAAACTCTGCACGCCCCCCGAGGTCAGCTCCACAATACCCATGAAAACCCTGCCGGCCATTTGCAAACATATGCGAAATGGAATTGCCAGGTCCAGCCAAAGTCCTTGAAGCAAGATGCAGGTGCTATCTGTAACTCATCAGCACATTTTTCCACATATGGCTTCTCCCACTCCATCATGACCTGGCTGCGTTGGAGTAGTCATAGGAAAGTTCAAAAGAATGGAGTGCCCTTCCCGGAGATTGGGTCGCGCCTGTTGACCATCAGCATCCAGCAATTGCTCCTTGCCCTCCCGGTCCAGCGAGAAGAAAAGGCCATCCGCCCAATCTTGAAACTCCATGTGGGACCTCCAGTGAGAACATCCGGAGTTCGCCAGGAGAGCAATCTTTTTGCAGCTGCGGTGCCTGTCGGAGGCTTCCTCCGCCGGCTCCCAGGGATCCGGCTCCCTCTGTCTCATCGCACCGAAGCTTCCGAGAACTTCCCCAGCATCGTTAAAGTGCTGCCCCCTGATACACCATCCTGGCACACGGAGCCAGTCGGGCCTAAATACACGCATTGTGGCCTGCTTGCACAGCAAAACACAGCAGGGTCGCTCCTGTGGGATCCAGCTGACCCTGCCAGCGCTGGCCTGCGGTAAACCATTGCACCAGACCAGTGCTCGAGATGTTGCCGCGCATCGCAGCCACGCCAAGCTGCACTCCTTCAAAGCACCTGGCTCATTGCGCTCATTGCGCTCATTGCCTGTGCCTTTTTGACAGGCACACGCACGCTGCACTGACATGATCGTCTTGCACCTGGCATCTGGGGCAAGCCGCCAACGAAACAGGTGGCAGCGATCCTCTGGATCGCACACCTTACTGGCCGGCAAATGCAAGTCGGGCAGTTCTCCTGCAAACTCCTGACAGGACAAAAGTCCTGTGTGCGTTTCCTTCAAACAGCAAAAGCGAAGCTGAAGAATCACCAGCGACCTGCAAATTATGCCAATGGAACACGCGCTGCCTAGCTGTCCCATTGCGCCAAGTCACAGCCCAAAGTCCGGTGATGTCCTAAGATTCACCGCGAGGCTACACTCCAATTCCAATGAGAACAAGTCCGACATGGCGTGCCTTCCAGGAGCAAACCCACACCGCCGATGATACGGATCACTCGGTCTGATTATGTACGACATTGCAGACTCTCCCAAAACGGATTCCACCAGGCATCTGTGGCCAGGTTCTTTGGCTCTTCCAGGTTCTTTGGCTCAGGGCCAATAAGCCTGTCAACGCTTTCAGAGTCACCGCTATCACGGCTACATCTAGCTGGTGGACAAAAGGTTGCCGCAATTGCGCGAAAGCCTCGCGATGGCTTGTTTTGGGGAAGCGTTTCCCTCTTGAATGCACGGCGTACAGCTGGATTCGACTCCCTCCCTTTCACTGCCTTGAGCGCTTCAGAGCGGGTTCCATAGTGCTACGAAGGCGGTTTAACCTCAATCGAGGCGATGGCATGAATTGCATGAATGGTGTCATTGCATGTCATTCAACTTCCACCACGGCGCAGGATGGTGCTGCTCATGGCGGCCCAAAGGCTGAGTTTCATTGAGCCCAAGCAGCCCAAGCAGCACAACAAATTGCGGCGAACGAAAAGAACTTCGCCTTGCGGTCCAACGACTCTGGACTCACTGGCATCCATCGAAACTCAGGCCCAATCTGAGTAGCACATTGCATCAAAGCACGCAAAGCAGAAAATCCAAAGACGCTTGCACTTCAATATGAAGAAGCACAAGCCTCCGATGGAGTCCGTGAGGGTTGGCGGGTGGGCGTAGAATCAAGCTCCATACCGTTCGGAAATCCTTGGATTCAGCACTTCTTCACATTTTCCCTGGGCTTCCTGCACCCTTCGGTTTTCGAGCGGCTCATGCCGACTGCTTGCGGTGTGGTAGCCTCTGAGAGGTTTGGCGTCTCCTGGCGGCAACTGGGCTGGGTGAAAGATCCTTGGAAATATTCTTGGCGGTGCTACTTGCAAGCACCCACCCCGCGCATGCTTCACGAGAGGGCCTACAGTAGCACAACTCAGTAAATGCAAAAACGCTTCCAGTCTCCTTCCATGCTCGCCCAATCTGACCCAGGGCATGGCCCAGGGGCACCTGTGTAGGCGTGGAAAGGACTCGTTGCCCGGCAATCTTCGCACTGAATGAGACTTGCGAGAAGATTGCATCCGGTTGCATCGCCATCGCTTCTTTTCTGCGAATGCGCAGTGCGCAAGCCCGGAGGCTCAGAAGGTCCCAAGGCCTTTTCACCCAAAATGTGAAGCATTGCCTAGCTTGTGCTCCCGCCACCCTCGAGCAAACGAGAGAAGCACTTGCCCCGTCTACCAGCTGCAAACAGCCTTTGCCACACCATGTTTTTTGCTTCAGAATTTATCTTTGAACAATACCACCAAAAATGAAGGCACATTGAAACGTTGCAAGCTAGACTTCCAGCTTGCAGCTGCCGCGGCTGCCGCCTGCTAGTTGAGTGCTGGCAAGTTTCGCGCACAATCATGAACCACTGGAACAACATGTTCAACACAAAAACCTCGCGGGTCTCACCAGCGTCCATGCCTTCCACTCTAGTCGCCGCGAGACTGTTTCTCCTGCCCAGTTCCACACTTTGTGATTCCGCCGGATTCATTTTGCAGTGCTGAATATGTACGTAATCGATCATTCCAATCAAGTTACAGCATGCTCATGGCATTGCCAAGGGTGGTGCAGGCGAACGTCCTTCTCTGCTTTTGCTGCCAATCGCTGACGCACGAGCTCCTCGACAACCAATTGCCAACCCGTGACGTATGGGGCCGAAATTCCCACAAGGACATCACATCGTCTTTGCTCTTAAACTGGCATCCTGATTTTTTGGAAGTTCTCTCCTCATCTGGTGGTTCAGGGCAGTCACGCGAGCGGTGGCCGAACTGCTTGCAGTTGAAGCCTGGCCAAATTGCGGGGGAATCATCGCCAAACAAGACAAGAAATGCAACACAAGGTCCGAAGGCCTCGTCTTAACCTTTTATGTCTGAGGCTTCCACATTGTTGCTCTTCTCGGTTCTTATAGCCCTTGCCACGGCCCTTTCCTTTCTCCTCCGCTGGCAAGATGCGCTGGCAATCTTGACGTGTGGTCTGACAGAATCAAAAGGCCCTTGTCCTTTCGCAGAAGGCGATTTCAAAGCATGAGATCCCTGACTCTGGAATTGTAGGCAGTAGGCAGTAGTAGTAGTAGCAGTAGCAGTAGCAGTAGCGGTAGTAGTAGGAGGAGTAGTAGCAGCAGCAGCAGTAGTTTTAGCAGCAGCAACAGTAACAGCACCACCACCGCTGCTTCTTCCACACTAACTTACTAACTACCCCCTCCTCCCGTTCCACTCTATCCTGTTACGTAACTAAAGAGCTGCTGCTAGTGCTAACTTACTAACTTATTCTCCGTCTCTGCGCCGGATACTGACTGACCAATTAATTGCTTTTGATGCGTATGCCACTGCAAGCCCACCGAAATCCTTGCGTGGCTCAGGGCAATCGCGCGAGCTATGGCCCAGCTGACCGCAATTGTAGCATTCCTTGGCTGCAAAATGCCCGGGTATGATATGCCTACATTTGCCATGTAGCAGTTTGCGAAACAAAAGCACTCTCAAAAGCACTCTGTGGTCTGCCACCGCCGTTCTCCAACTTCTCAGTGACTTCAAGCAGGACTTGGCATGCCAACAAGCAGCCATGTTCTCCTGACGGCGGCCTGCCAGCCCATCCACAAACAGTGCTTTCACAGACATTGTGGCCATCACGATCAAGTCTCCAAACTCTTCCAAACACAGGCTTGCCTCCATCACGACGCTCCTATTGCAGCACGTCAGCCCAACTGCACCGATTCAACTTGTCATAAACTTTGACCAATTGCCAAGCTGCCTCGTGGCTGTGACCCTCTGTGCCAACAGGTGCCTCATGCTGCGTGCTGCACATGAGACACTGGCTTGGGTCCTCTCCATCGCCACGGTCCCGGAAGCCTCCATCTCGGGGGGGACGGTCGTCACGGTCAAAACGGCCACCACCACCACCACCACCGCCGCCTCCACCACCATTACGATCAAATACACGCTCGCCACGATCAAATCCACGCTCGCCACGATCAAATCCACGTTCGCCACGCTCGCCACGCTCGCCACGCTCGCCACGCTCGCCACGCTCCCCGCGATCTCCACGCTCCCCGCGATCTCCACGGTCACCTTTTCCTGAGCCAACGGGTTTCACGTGCTTGCTTTATCTCGCCTTCACCTGTGACTGACTGAGTTGTTGGTCTGGTGATCTCTCAGCTCGTGACCTTTTCCCTTGGGTCGCTCTTCCTTCTCGCCTCAGCTCGCTGGCTTAGTTCAACTAGTTGCCTCAGCGGTCTTTGGCCCGAAAAGGTATGCTGTGGAACTTGTAAGCCTCCCCTGCCAGTTGGCACCCCAAACTTACCACCGCACCTTTGCGTGTTTGCCATTTTATGCATCCTGTACAACAACATGACTTCAACGCTCGTCTGATGGCTGTCCGATGCATTGAGCCAAACCGCCCCATTCCTGTTCAAACGCATGCCTCTTCCTTTTGCCCAAAGGTGCCAAGGCCCCTGCCACCGTCTTTATCGTCGTGCATGCGCTCGCGGCGTTGGGCTGACCTTGGCTGACCATCGAAAGAGAGGTCGGCTCCATCAGCAAGTACCCATCGCCGAGGAAGGCTGGGCACGGTGCTTTTCTTTGGCAGCAGCCAACTCTTCCTTGGCCGCCTGCAGAACAACTCGATCTCTCAAATGCCGGTACAGGTCGGACCAAATTTGGTAGTTTGTCTCCATGGTAGTGAAAAGGCAGTTCCAAAAATTGGAACAAAGGCCAACTAAGTAAGTACGCCCTCTGCGCTCTGCGTAGGTCGTCCTCATCCATGGTCATCGTTTTGGTCGCTTTTGCCACGTCCTGCGATCCCAACTGTTCAAAGGCATGACGCTCGGTCCTGACTCGCTAAGCTTTCCATGCAATATGGGCAGGCAGCGGCCAGTGAAGCAAAAATATTGTCCTCTGGCATCATACCTCAACGCTTGAATTGCGCGCTCGCGCACACAAGCATCCCCATGTTGGGCTCAGTTCTGCAAAAGGGCCTATCTAAGTTGAAGCTTAATACTTCTTAGTACCCTGAGTCTCTGAGTGGTTGATGGCCAGAATCTCTGTCGCATCTCGGGGACAGGAAAGGCTCAGATGCATGTGTGTGCAGTCATTTTGCCTTGTTTGTTGTAACCCAAGGAAGTTGGAGGCAATGTTTGCCGCTTGCTAATTAGCAGTGAAGCTCACTGCAAGCCACCATGATTTGCCTCAAGTTCTGGCCTGCATCCGCTTTGACAACTTGTGATTCTGCAATGCACCACTTGCAGTTTTGCATGGCTTGCATCAGGGCTGCTGATCAAGCCATCCAGCACGTGTTGGACCCATGTTTCGCCGTTGGTGCTCTTGCGCACAAGCATTTCCTCAGGATGCAAGGCTTCAGGCAGTCACTCTGCCATAGTCGCACTCGTCAGGCAGGAAACTGAGGCTGGTTCCAATGGGCCAGGATTGTCATAGGTGCCAAGCTTGGCGCCATCCAGCCCAATGTCCCCAAAAATCTGGGCGATCTTCGCCTGCACTTGCCGAGTCCTATGCTGCAAAAAGGCCCTAGAAAAATGCAAATTCAAGGGTTGGCTGTTGAAAAAGCACCTTTGGCACCTACATGTTGGACGCTTTGACAGCTAATGGAAAGTTTTCAAAGAGAGCCGCTGCGCCTCACGATCGGACCGAATGAAGGCCGGTTTCTCCTGGCGCTGAATCGCAAGAGCCACCAGCCATGGCGATGGCCTTTACAGGCAAAAGACTCTGGTGGCCTTTGGCTAGCCTGGCTCGACAAATTGTCTCTGGTGCCAACACTCACCGCTCCTTGAGTTGCCCCTTCTTCACCTGAAGTCAACACATGTGGCGGGCCGAAGGCTGCCATGACACAAAACCAACACCAAGCGGCGAGGAGGTCACACAGGTTCTTGGCCAACTCATCACTGGTCCAGGACGCATCAAAACCTGCCATGACCTTGGAGTCGCAGGCGGGAAAGTGGCGTAACCTTGAACCAGTATCAAGAGGCCATTGGAATCGCGCCTGCCTTTCAGGAATTCAATCAATGGATGCAATTTTCGTCTGTGAGTGCCTGGAAATCTGTATGCATGTCAATGATTCGGATTGTGAGAATATATGAAAAGCCACTGGCTTCCGACCCCAGCCAAGTATGCAGCCATGCAGGCTGCATGCGACAACGAAGTTGCAGCTGGCAAGCCTTATTAAGCCTGACCATGCCTAAGCTCAATTCCAAAAGAGCCCAGAAGCCTCTTTGCTATCGAAGATATCAGAACTCATGACAGACAGGCGGCGCAATGAAAGCTCCGAGTCACCATGCTATGCGGATGTCACCCAAGTTATACCCCTGATATTGCAACCTAGTGGCGAAAGACCACTGACAGCAATTGCAGTCCGTGGCTCAAGGCTACAAAATGCGGCAACTGCACGTGGGCAACACGCGAGCTGGCAGCAAGCAACTTGAATTGAAAGCAACTCTTGCCAGGCCTTTTGAAATGGTCTTGCTAATGTTGCCCTGGTGAGCGGTTTCATTTTCATGCTTGCTGTCATGGCATCCTGGGTCTGCATTTGTCTGCAAAGACTGCCAGAGCCAATGGCACTGCAATGGCACAACTCAAATTTGCCAGCTCCCCTTCCCTGCAGACTGCCCCCACCCCCTCTGTCTCTCTTAAGCTGTGGCAGCTGTAAAGCACTTGCACGCAAATGTCTTCCCCAGTAGCACCTAAATTTCAAGCGCTTGCACTTCCCATCCCCCGGAAGCACCGCCAAAAGCTTCTCGACGGCTCGAGGTGATGGTGGAGCAGGCCTGTCCAGCAAGGCACATGATGTTCAGAACGCAAAGCATGGGGGACCTCTGAATGATTGGAACGGACGGCCCTGATCGGCAGGGCGACGGGCACCTTGCCAGCAAGCGAGCCCATCAAACTCCAAGTTTTTTTGCTTCAATACCGCACGCCGGCACGCCCGCACACACACACACACTCACCCGTACACTAAGACAAACAAGAGACGAAGCAAACAAACAAAATGAACTGCCCGCAAAGCGGCCTACAGAAAGAGCACGAACAAGCGGACGGAGAACGCGACGAAGAAGCCAGAACAAGTAAACATTCCAAGAGCAAGACGGACAAAACGCAAAGAAGGAGACAAAGAAAACAAAGCGCAACCAACGAAGTCCAGACAGGAAACCCTCAATTGCACGAGTCCCTCAAACGGGGTGGCTTAGAGTTAGGGAAGTAACTGCGCGAACGCACACGCACACGCACACCCATACGCGTATACACACCTACGGCAAGCTGAGGCATTGACGGGCGAAGGTGTGTCATCGGAGATGTGATGGGGGTTGGGGGTGCTGGCGATACACTGCCTGAGCGCTTGCGCATCGCCCATAGCGACAATTCACAGCAACCACCTTATCCGATAGGGGGCACTCATGTTGATTGCTTCTCTGATGAGTACATGCACAGGCGTCGTACCATCACGTCTAAGCGGTGAAACCGATGTAGGATACCCGACCTGGATCATTCAATCTGGCTCATGCCGGCGACTACGGCATGGCTGGGAATCACACTAGACTTGTGCGCCCTGTAAAGCGTGACCTTGGCTGATCGCTCTTTGTCGGATTCTACAGTCCTACAATTTCAACGTGATGTGTCTCGCCGGTCCCAGACTATGATTGGGACACATCCTGACAGCCTGAGGGCCAGGCTGCAAAGGCGACCTGGGGCAGTCCATGTAAACGCCGCCTCACGGGACAAATGGGCTTGGATTTCCACAGTGCTCGTGGGCTTACCTGGCTCTTATGCGGGGGCGCAACTGGCAATGCTTCACCCAGCTGACATGAAGTATCCTACTCATTCAAAAGTAACCCCACACGCCTGGCCGCAGCACCCCATGTGGTGAGATTGCACGTGGCATATTGCCAGGTGGGGCCTAGGCAGGCTTGAAGCTCCCTCCCCATTCCACGCCCGCAGCCGTCCTGATCGCACTGCACACGTGCCAGCATGGGGTACAAGTTCCCGGCTGACGCAGAACCCGCCGGGGGATGCTCTAGCGCATCTGCGCCTGCTCGCCTCCCAGCCCCCACCAGTGGGACATTTGAGCAACATCTACAACCAATACCTGTAGGAAGGAAATCAGGTAACCCAAGACAACGTAGCAATCCCAATGGCAACCCCTGCAAATATATTGACTCAGCCATCAGGAACTTAGCTGCCGGTGCGGGCCGCGCCTTGTTGGGGACTTTGCCGCAGCAAAGGACTTGCGCTGAGCCTGAGGCCATTCTGCGACAGGTGCAACGTGGTGCTATGTCGTAGTGCTCAGGCTCAGAATGACGAAAGCACGCAAATGACTTTTCATCGCCCACGGCGCGGCATGCTAGCAAGCTGACATTCACCGCAACTCGGGATAGCGTTGACCCCTTGTCCGAGGTCTCACTTGGACGGGTGGTTCCACCGGCAACTGGAGCCACGCGGGCAGTTGCCAGTCCGGACAAAGTCCCAGCAAACCATGAAATCATCCTGCCGATGGAGTGATGTGTGCAGCAAGAGGGGCAAAAAAAACATGACAGGCACTCATATCTCCAAAAGCCATCTCAAGCCCCCGAATTCTAATTGGCCAACACACGGTCTTTAGTCAGTCGACGAGGGGGAAGCCACAAAACAAGAAAGCCCTGTCCGACGCGGACACGTCCACACCGCCAGGCAGGGGGTCCGTGCCTTACAGAGCCAGGAAGTCCGCAAAATCAATCCTGACCCGCACGGGATGTGCTAGACTACCGGTGGTTTGGATTGGATTGCGGACAAGAAACCCTGGCTCTTGTAGTAGGGTAAATGGTCGAGGGCTACAACAGCATGCATTAGCTTGGAAGCGTGCGAGCTGGTTGGCTGTAGCTGCAAGAGTCATAAATTAAATCAAGTGGCGAAGTCTTACCTCGAAGTCTTCATCCTTGCTGTGCGACAACTATGCATGCATTGCCTTTGCCATTCGTGAATCCGAAACAACTGCCCTGTCCTCCTCACTTCGACCTGCTGCTGCAAGCAGCTTCAGCCACTGCAGCCGCTGCGCCTCCCAAGCTGTGCACCATGCTGTTGCACCCTCTCTCTCTCAGCGCAAGGGACCCTCCTGGTCTCTCTCTCTCTCTCTTTCTCTCTCTCTCTCTCTCTCTGACGTTAAAATTGGTTGTTACTTTGCTGACAAGTGCAAGTGCTGTAGTGTTCAAACAAACAGTCAACCAATGTAGTCTGCAGCTGCCAACCTTTTGACTCATGCGGAGTAGTAAGCTCAAGGCCTGCGGTAGTGAACATACATGCAACAAGGGTGCAAAGTGAAGCATGTAGTTTGACACGGCCCCTCAGGTAAAAGGTCTTTGTAGTAACTTTTCAACTGAAGTGCAAAACATGGATTGACAGTAGTGATGAAAACTATTGTTGTTCATCAGTTCTACTGTATTGACAAAAGTAGCGACCTGCGCTCAGTAGTTCACGCTGTTCAAGTTCCAGCTCGATGTAGGGCTCTGGACGGAAGTAGTGAAGGCAGGCACTCGTTGTAGTAGAGCAGGAGCTCAAAAGTGTAGTGCCCAGTTCTGGGTGCGGTAGTCTTGGACCTTCTGTAGTCGACTGTCCAAGGTCGCGTAGTAGTTGGTGGTGAAAAAGTTTGTCATGCAGTTTGGAGCTCCCCGTAGTCGCTCATCATCAATCTCGGGACACGACATGTGTTGTTCGTAGTCCCGTAGAAAGCGGTGTAGTAGTGCTTTGTGGTGTTGTGTGAGGTTGGTCATTGTGAGTAGTGTGAATCCGTAGTATTGGATGCTTTTGCAGAGGATTGTAGTGATTGCTTTTTGTTGGTAGTCGTGGAGTTGGTCTCTGTTGTAGAGGTGGTGGAGTAGTTCAGGTAGTAGTAGTGGCATGTGGAAATTCCAAACGTAGTTGTTCCTGATAGTTGTCAGTGAAGGTGGCCATGTTGTAGTTCACCTTGAAGATGGCCTGTGGCAGTGTTGTAGTCGGGAGGTAGTAGTTGTGTTGTACCGACATCATGTAGGAGATGTAGTCCCTTGTGAAGTGTAGAAATTGTCCTGAAGCGAGGTACCTCAGGAGTAGTGGTTGTTCAATCTGGAGTTGGATGATGACGTAGTTGGTGTTGTCGCCAGTTGTAGTGTGGAGTGAAGTCGTGTGGTAGTAGTGGACATTGGCTGCTTCAGGTAGTGAAATGCTGAGCAGTGTGGAATTGTAGTGTGGCATCCGAAGATCTCCAGGGATGCAGTGAATGGGTCGTGTGTAGTCCAGTTGTGCCAGTGGAGTAGCTTGTTGTTGTGAGAGTAGTTGATACTCTTCAAGTGTAAATGCAGTGAAAAATTGCGTGTAGGGAATGTTGTTCAGTGATGTGTAGTTGGTCCATCACTGTGGTCGGGTTGTAGTAGACGGTGTTGCCAGGTGTAGAATGGTTGAAGTGGTAGTTGAAGTCGTTGTAGGTTTGAGGTGGTGGAGTTCCATGGTCACTGGAGTCTGTAGTGACCGCCACCTCAGGTGTAGTCGCCCTGTCGGGCGTAGTGGCGTCTCCCATCGTAGCATCTGCAGTAGATGGAGCGGCCATGGCTGCAGTGGAATGCAAAATGTAGTGAAACGGGGCAAAACAAATGAGCCTAAGTAGTTGCTACCAGGCAGTCGGCGAATGCAGACATGCAAAACAAACAACTGTAGTGTTGACTCAAGCCGCCAAAAGTGCAAGTGAAAGTACATGTAGTTACTGTTACTTACATACCAAAAGTGTCGTGTTACATGTAGCTACTTACATACATGAAATGTCCAAAGTCGTTGTTGTTGTTGTGAAACTGCTGTGCTGGTCGTTCGTAGTGCTAGATGCGTATTCCAATGCTCTGGATGAGCCTGTGTAGTGTTTCTTTGCTGATGTATTTGGTAAACAAATCTGCGCTGTTGTGGAGTGTGTTGATCTTAAGGATTCTGATGATGTCGTGCTTGATGAGGTCTTGTGTGTAGAGGAATTTGAGATCGATGTGTTTTGCTCGTTTGCTAGTACCTTGTCGTGTAGCAATGCTCTTGCCTGCTGTGGAGTCTGTGTGGATGCGTAGGTTTAGCTTGCTGCAAATGTTGGTTTCAAGTAGGAAGTTTCTGAGGTGTAGTCCCTCATTAACTCCTGCGCAAATGGCGTAGAGTTCAGACTCTGCTGAGCTAAGTGCTGTTGTAGCTTTTGTTCTGCTGCCAAATGCAACTGTTGTTCCTAGAAAGATGATGTTGAAACCTGAAGTTGATTTCCTGGTAGTAGGGCATCCTGCCCAGTCGGCATCGACATGAACGTCGAGATCCAGGATGTTGTTGGTGTTTGCTCTGAGTGTTGTTGTTGGTTCTATGGTGAATTTGTAGTGCTTGGTGCCGTGCAAGTAGCGTAGTAGATGTTTGACTCTCTTTTGTGAAAGTTCTGTAGGTGCTGTGAGGTCTCGTGCTAGTTCTTTTGTGGAGTATGCAATGTCTGGTCGTGTGTATGCTAACCATTGAAGTTTGCCAACAATTCTTCTGTACCTTTTGTGTTGTTCGTGGTCAAGTAGTGCTTCATCTTCTATTGTTGGTTTGTAGTGTGCAATTCCTGGAGTGTTTACTGAGTTGCAGTTGTTCATTCCAGACTCCTCGATCATGTTGTCGATGTAGGAGTCCTTTAGTCCAAGATTGCAGTAGTTGCCGAAGTGGTCGATGTTTCTTCCAAGAAATTGTTGTGGTTTGCCAGGTTCGAGGTAGCCGATGTGCTTGAGTAGTACCTGCTTCTGGACGGCCTCGAAAGTGGAGTCGACTGCGGTCTTGTCTCCAAGTACTAGTAGATCGTCCACGTAGACCATGATGTAGCAGTCGCGAGTCGCATTGGTGTAGACGTTGGGTTCTGACTTTAGTCTTACAAAGCTGAGCTTTTGTAGAACTTCAGCCAGGTAGTCCTGCCATGCTTTCGGTGAACTGCGTAGTCCATACATGGCTTTCTTTAGTCGCCAGATTTTGTCCTGTTGTGGACAAAGTTCTTTAGGTGGCCAAAGGTAGACGTCACGTTGTTTACCGTCGTGGTCTTTTGCGATGGGTGCGTGTAGAAATGCTGTAGAGACGTCACCTAGTCGCGCGATCCAGTTTGGTCGTGACATTTGTAGTGCGAGAAGTGTCCGGAGTGTCGTGAACATTGGTGTAGAGGCGTAGACGGAGTCTTCGTCCTCGATCTTCTCGGTGTAGCCTTTTGCGACGATTCGGCTTCGTACTCCTGGTCCTTTCTTTCTGTGTACCCATCTTGTAGGTATCGCTTCTCTGATGACGTTCTCGTTGACGGTAGACGCATCTACTTCGTCGTGGACGTCGTGTAGTTTCATTTGGTTTGACTCGTGTTTCATTCCTTCCAGTAGTTGTGTTTCGTCGTAACCCTTCGTTGTCGAAGATTATGGGTTGGTCTTCTGAGGTGTCGTCGTTTGTGTAGGGAGTGATGGATTTTCCGTTGGGAAGTGTCACTGCGTTGATTTTCTGTCGTAGTGGTGGTGGTTCTTTGGTTGCTTGTTCCGTTGATCTGATTGTAGTGTCCTTTGAGGTCTTCTGTGCTTTAGTTGGTTGCATTACTTCTTCCGGAGTTAAACGTCGTAGTGTTTGTCGAGGTGGTGCTGGTAGTGGTGGATGTTGTCGTCCAGTTGGTGAAGTAGCCATAGGACTATCCGGTAGTGGTCGTGAACTTGACGTCGATGTGAACGGAAGTCGTGGAGGTGGTGTAGTGCGTTGTTGTTTTGTTGCGGGTTCTGCAACGATGTCGTCCGTCGCATTCGTTTGTTGTCCGAAGTCTTGCGTGGACCTTCTTTTCTCTGACGGTTGTAGTTGCGTATCCAACAGTGTTGCGAACGATGGGTTGTAGGTGTTCCGTCGTGGTGCCCATGGTGTGCCGGAAACTTTGTTCAACAGTGCGAGGTCGTATTTGAAGTCCGGTTGTAGTCTCCGTACTGTTCGTACCTTTTGTACGCCTGATTCCGTTGCGACGTAGTTTTCTCCGGTTTCGGAAACTTTTCCGAGCCAGATGCATTTCTGCATCCGTAGGTCTGCTTTCGGAAGTTTCTTGTGTTGTGGTGGAAGGTAAAGTAGTGTCTCGCCAAATTCGCAGATTGCTCGCTCGTAGTTTCTTCCCCAGCGGCGTTCAAAGCTTGTGTAGCCGTCTGAGTGGATGACGTAGCGATTTACCGTCCATGCTGCATGTCGTACTATCCAAGGTAGTAGACAGTGCTTTGTGGACATCGTCATGCTGTAGTTGCTTTCAACTTGGGCTTTGACGACGCGGATTTGTCCGAGAAGTGTTCTATGTAGTCGCTCAACGCTTCCTTGACTGTTGCTGCTGTAGGAAGGTGAATGTCGTACACTCATTGTGCCTACTTTTGCTGCTGTAGCTTTTAGAAGTGCGTTGAGTGTGTCCTCGTTGTCGCTTTGTAGTATGCCTTGTGTTCTTCCGCACTCAAAGATGAATGCTTGTAGGTTGTTGACCATGTAGTCCATCATTGATGCTTTGTCTGGAACCAACACTGCCATACACAGTTGTGTAGTAACATCAACTGCTGTCAGTACCGGTGTGGTCTTTGGATCTTGTTGTGACTTGATGTAGGCAAAGTCTACTTGAATGACAGGTTGTCGTGATTGTTGTTTCTTGTAGTTGTCTTGGCGTCCTTTGCCTTGAACGCAAATTGGACACCAGTTTCTGTATGGTAGATGTGTAAGGTTGTGTTCTGCTATTTGTTGTGGAGTGGGCTGCTGTGGTTGTCGTAGTCCTCTTGCTCTGTGTGCTTCATGATGCTCGTGTTGTTGTTCTTCATCGTGGTTCTCCTGGATGTACTCGTAGTCTTTCTTCACGGTGAACCTTGTTGTTCCTTTCCATTGAAATGGTAGTGCTGCGTTGCCCATGACTGTCCAGTCATCTTTGCGTTGTGAAACTTCTCCAAAGTTGTTGTGAGTGATTGTAGTTCTGTGAGGTTCAAGTGTGTTGATTGGTGGATGTCCTGGTCCATCTGTTGGAGTGAAGAGAGTTGTTCTAAGCGTTGTGTGGTGTCGTATCCAATGTTCACCTTGTCTTTCCCAGTAGTCTTGGTTGTCCTCCTGTGCTGTGAGTGGTCTGTGGATTGTCTCCTTTGGTTGTGTGGTGTCAAGATTTGTAGAAGGTGCTGCTTTAGGTCTCCATATCTTTTGTGGTGCTCGTAGTTGGATCTTTGATCTGGTTGGTGGTGTGTCCATTAGCCGTTGTGGTTGTGAGCTCTGCCTTGTTGGTGTGGTCTTTGATGTTGCTCTGCGTGTAGGTGTTATCTTTCTTCTGAATCTGGTTTCTCCAGTCCAGTTGTCACCTTCTAGTCTTCGTTGTAGTTCTTGCTTGGAAAGTTGTGTTGGGTTCTCTTGTAGTTGTTCTTGCTCTTGCCCTTGTCTGTTGATGATGGTTAGTCGCCAATCATCTAGTTCTCCTTCAGGTATTGGGCAACCACTGTTGTGTGGTGTGAATAGTGCTTTGCGTGGTCGTTTGTGTACTCTGATGGCGTAGTCACCATCAAGTTTCCAGTAGTCAGTGTTTCCACCAAGGATCTGTCGTAGTCCTTGGTCTGTGTGTGTGAGTGGTGCGATTTGTTCTTGTTGTTGTGCTGCTCTCTCTGTAGGTTGAATCACAGCAATGGATTTTCCATTGTCTGTAGTCATTGGGTAGATGTCGAATCCTGTAGGAATGTCGATCTTCTCTGCTCGTAGGTAGAAAAGTCCTGAGTGTCTTATGAGGTGTGCTTGTTGTTGTCCATGTGTGATGGTGCAGTGTCGTGGAGTGAAGTCAAGTCCATATCCTCTATCAAGTAGTCTTGATGCGCTGAGGATTGGATACTTCACATCACAAACGTAGTAGGGTATCATGATCCTGAAGTTGTCCTGCTTGTAGGGAACGTACTTGATGCCGTAGACTGGAATCTTCTTGTTGGTCACCGTGTAGAGTTGTGGAACTGATTCTCCACAGGGTCGTAGTGGAAGATCCGGTGCGTAGTCCTTTGGGCAAACATGTGTAGATGCTCCTGAGTCGATCAACAGGTGGTGGTATGACTTGAAGTTGGAGTACATGATGTAGTGGGTGATAGTGTCCTCAATCTTCTTGTTCCTTTGTTGTTGTCTTGCTGCTGCTATGTCGAAGTGTAGCTTTGTGGTGTCTTCTTGTAGGAATTGTTGAAAGCTCTTGCTGTGGTCGTTCCATGATGTTGTGTGTGTTGTTCTCTTGCCAAGTAGTGATTTGGATTTGTGCTTGTGTAGTCGTGAGTTTGCTTGTCTGATGTGTCCAATGGTGAGGTGTGACTCGTTGATGCCTCCAATGTAGTTCGCTGTGTCCTCATAGCTGTTGTCATTCCAACCCCAGCTGTTGTCATAGTCGTAGTCGTTCCAATTCTCCTCCATGTAGTTCACCTCATGTTGTCCTTCTTCTCCTTCGTAGTACCAGTCCCAAGTGTCGTTCACATCCTGAGGTAGTTCATCATTGTTGTCGTGATCTGCTTGTTCTTGTTCTAGTGGATGTAGTTCTTCTCCTTCTCCTATGTGCCATACCGGCACTCTGCAGTCTTGTGCCCAGTGGCCGGGCTTGCCACATCGATGGCATGTTGTGTAGTTGTTGCTTCCTTTTCCTTTTGATTTGCTGTAGTTTCCTTGGCCTTTGTAGCCTTTGCTTGATCCATATCCTTTGGATCCTGAGTAGCCTTTTCCTTTGCTCTTGTTGTATCCTCCTTTGTTGTAGTTTCCTTTGCTGCCTTTGTCGAATCCTTTGTAGTGTCCTTTACTCCTGTACTTGCCTTTGCTCTTGCTTCCTTTGTAGCCGCCTTTTCCTTTTCCTTTGCCTTTGTAGCTTCTTCCTTTCCTCCATATGTTGTCAACATCCATTGGTGCAGTTCCTCCATTGTAGTTTGTTCCTACTGCTGAAGTAGATCTAGTGAAGGCTGAAATCGTTTTGTAGTAGTCCAGGATGAGTGCTCTGATCTCGATGTAGTTCGTGATCTGTCCAGCTCGCAGTTGGAGGTGTTGCTGCAGTGCTCCTTTGGTTTTGTTGAGTAGTATTGCTATTTTGATTCCATCTGGTAGTGCTGTTCCATTGTCTTTCTCGTAGCGGTTGATGTCGTATTCCCATTGTAGAAATTGTTCTTCAAACTGCGCTTCGTTGAATGTGGGTTCCAGTAGTTTGGTAAGGTAACCAACGCTCCTTGTTCCTACTGGTAGGCTGAACCTGTTGTGCAGTAGTCGTAGTGTTTCACATCCGTTTGCGTTGTAGCGGTTTTGCCTTACTACTGTAGCTGCTGCTCCCTGACAGATGTTGATGAGGATGTAGTGTAGATCTCTGGAGAGGTCTACTGCTTTGCTTGCTTGTGTAGGGTCGAGTATGTGTGTTCTGATGTCTGTGTCCTCAATCTGTCGTGTAGCCACTTGTGCTAGTTGTAGCACCAGGTCGAAGTCTCGGTCTATGAGGCCGAGGTATGCTTGTAGCTTGAACAGCCATTCTTCATACTGGGAGTAGTCACCAGTGAAGAAGGGTGGTGGCAGTTTGTATCTATGTAGTCTCTGAACGTCGTTGTCTTGTTCTGTTCCTGCTCCCGCAGTCGTGGCTCCTACTGTGTCTGCTGTTGGCCCGTTCTCTGCTCCTGTAGTTTGTTGTGCTGAGGCTGATGCTGCTTCTCCTGACATGTCGTAGTAGTTTGGCATGTAGCTGCTGTTGCTGTGTTGTTGTAGTACTTACTGCTTACTGGAGCTCCCCTATGTTTAGGATCTCAGCTCCGCTACCACGTTAAAATTGGTTGTTACTTTGCTTACAAGTGCAAGTGCTGTAGTGTTCAAACAAACAGTCAACCAATGTAGTCTGCAGCTGCCAACCTTTTGACTCATGCGGAGTAGTAAGCTCAAGGCCTGCGGTAGTGAACATGCATGCAACAAGGGTGCAAAGTGAAGCATGTAGTTTGACATCTGAGTCTCTGCTGCCGGCCTTGGACATCAGCCCCACGCGCTGCTGCAGCCACTGGGTCATCTCAGCTTGTTTTGCCATGCGGTGTGAAAAAGCATAAGCAACTTGATCAACTACTGGAAGAAAATCCGGAACTATCAGCCCTGACTGCTAGCGTCATATCAGGCGAGAGCCTAGAAAGCACGACGACTGTACAATGCATTCTCGACCATGCCCATGAGTCATGAGGGCTCTGCGCAGACAAACTGCTAAGCAACAACCCTTAGCCCTGGTTGCCGCTGAACCACGTCGCGGAACACCTCCGGATCAGTTGCATTCAAATCCTTGGCAAGCACAATCGGGAATGCACTCCATGGCCCACGTGACACTTAGCTTAGACACCACCAGGTGTTGTGCCACTGCCGTGACTTGATGGATGTCGAATTGGCCCCAGCGGATGCGGCACCTGCAAAAGCGCAGTGAAGTTGGCTTCGTCCGCGGCTGCAATACTGATCCGAGGCGAACAAAATAATGTGAAGGTTCAGAAGTGAAATCAACCTCTTCAACTACTTCCAATTTGTGTCTAACAAGCTGCTGCTCAAATGGGCTTGCTCACGTCATACGGCCTGATGTGCACGAAGACCGCTTCGAAAAGCTCGCCATCGAAAAACTTCAGTCGTGCCTCGGCTCTTGGCTGTGTTCTTCGGCCATCATTCTGTCCGCAAAAAGAACGGGAGCAAATATATGATGCATTTGAACAAGAGAGTAGACATGCAAGTCGTTGACAATGCAAGCTTCTACACGTGGCTGAAATTTGAGACGGTGTGCCTGTGTCCCGCTAATCATAATGACACTCGCGGCACATGGTCTCTGCTAGGCGAAAATGGGCAGGCAATGGACCAGTTCACATGATGAGAACTTCTGTATCTCAGTCTTGAGTGTGCGAAGAACTGACTGGACCAAGTGGACTAGTGGAGCCAGTCGGCCCATGAGCTTGAGAAATTCTAAGGAGCAAGTGGGCCAGACAGCCGACAGCTGCACGATGCAGCTTGGCGGCTGCAGTCTCACAAAGCGCTGTGAGCTCCTCGTGGCACCACGCGACCCCCTCGGCTCGAACCACCTCGAATAGATGTTGCCTAAAGATGCCTAAAGGTCGCTACACCATGGCATACGTCTGCCTCTTTGTGGCCGAGTCAATCTCTGCTCCAAAGGTCCTCCGAGGACATCTTCATGGAGGCTTCTTGTATCGCAGGGCTTAGCCGCAGAAATTCCTAAACATGCAGTGAATCGCAGTCCAGCCATGTGTGCCAACGCTACTAGTACTGGACATTGCCAAGCAAAATTGACTAACTTGCGCGTGTGCCGTCCTGCTTTCATGTGAGCCAGGCAGCACTCGAGGATCAAACAAAAAAAAATCAACCTGAACAGCGCTAGAGACTGGTTCGCGACACCTTGGCACCGCTCCATCCTGTGTGGATCAAATCTACCTTTGCATGTCCGGAAAGTTCGTATCAACCTGCATCACTTGACTTGCACACAGCAAACCTCACACGGGGAAATACCGTATTTGTTGGGTGTATTAGACGCTCGCTGGCTGCGGGCTCGTGAAGCCAAGTTTCCGAGAATGTCTCGATGTCCCGCATGCTGGCAGGCCTGGCCGGCTTCAAGGGAGGCCATGCAACCGCTTTGCGGCTGGCATATCGAAGTCCCTCAACGTGCCGCGTTCGTGCTGAGGTGAGGCCCCTGCAGCTTGGGAGCTGGGGCTTGCTCCAAGGCTTCTGAGTCAAGCGGCCTCGGATGCCCAAGCTTCCCGTTGCTCCATGCGGTTTCCCCACTTGCGGCCAGGTCTCCTCTCCTCCGCCTTTGAGCGGCCAAGGCCTAAGGCTGCACGGAGCGCGGCCACCTAAGCGACCGCCAGCAAAACGGAGCGAGGTCAAACGATGTAAGGACGAGAGTGAGCAAGTGCAGAGCAAATTCAGCGCGCCTGCGCAAGCGTCTGCGCTTCAGGAAGGGCTGCCTTTTCGGAGGCCGCCTGAAACCGCTTGCAAAGCTCAAATCTATCAGCAGCCGAAGCCCCATTCTGTCACTCTAGTACATTCATGTACATTCCTAGTTTAGGCGCTGAAGCGCTTGCATCCGTCCCCAGGCCTCGCTCTGAGGGAGCTTCGGCACTCCCCGCTGGATCTTTGGCAGCCTAGCTTTGGCGCCTGGCGGTCGGGGGCGTCTGAATCTGCATTTGCAGAGATAGTTGCCGGAAAGC